GTTGGTATAGACTGGTTTTGAAATTTGGTTTGAATATCCGACCCATTTTGTACTCAGATACGCCTAGCTTTTTCAGAGTAGAAATTTTCGTTTTGTTTTATCAGTTATAGTAAAAAGATCTTCATCACCAGTCACTCTTTCATCTGAAGTTTCGGGTTGTTTGGAAAGCTTTTCTGAAAAATCTGAACAAGTTTATTTTCTCGAACAACTTTTATCCCAACTGCAGCGCAAAACGAACTGAATCTTAACATATGTTTGACACGAATATGGAATAATGTAGACATTTGATCGAACACCAGTGTTTCTAGTTGTTGAACATAATAATCAGTCCGGTTATTTAATTGTCAGACCTCCGAATTCCTAAGAATACTTCCGGTTTTCACTCACATTTTCGTCATTTACAGTCCCGACATCACCCGTTACTCCTAATAAATGGTCGAGCATACAACATGAAGTGTACAGGACACAGGCCTAATTTGAAGAAAAACATTAATTATTGTTACAGGCAGACAAATTGGTGTCTTTGGTTAATATACGCCCGGCATAAATCCTTGTAGTTAATGGAAGGTACAGGAAAGCCTCATTCGGACGAATACAAGGAGACGAATGACCGGAATTGTGACGCCAGCTGTACGCTTATATCATTTCTGATATGGGACTTAGAAAAGGGCTTAGTTGTTGGGACGAGCATAGGCGTATACAATTTTCTGTTTTAAGAGTCATTACTAGTTTCCGCATAAATTATTCTTACAGTAACCAACTAATTTACACAAAAGTGTCGAGTGTCGAGGCTGGGTGGTTGGGATTCGTACTTCGTATTCGGGAGTCCCGGTTCAATTGTCAGCCCAGAGTCCAGATGTCTTGATATTTTTTTAAAATTTTAATTTTTCAAAGTCCCTTCAGGGAAAAGCCGATGCTGTACAATCAGTGCACGAACCCTTCCTTCCATATCTGAGTTTCTGAGTTTCTCAGGAAACTTGGATAAGGTTATTAAGCTTGTAGATACAACTGGAAAAAAAAATTGTGCATCGAAAGAGTCATAGTTTCAGGAAAGTGAAATTGGGTGTGGATAGGGAGATGCTAGTTTGAAGTCACGTTCTGGCACATTGACTGTTTTATTCATGATACTACATGACACTTATTCCCTTCTGCCAAATTAAAATAAGGTTCATGAGCAAAAAAATAAGAAAAAGTTGAATTCCTCGTAGCATATTTGTAGCAATTTCCCGCTAGCTTCATTAACTGTAAAATCCTTCGAGGTATGTTGGTTGGATTTCAGCCAGTCAGCCTTTATAATGAGAGAGGTGGACGTCGCACTGTAAATATAGCGTCCCGTGTCATCACTTGCAGATGATGGACAGCGCGGCGGTATAAATACTCACCGTTCTCACGTCTTCGCCCAGTGCGTCAACCTCATACACTACTTGGGAGTACAAGTTGCCCGGAGGATTTTCGTTTGCTCCGTGATTCGGTGCATTTGTACGTAGTCTGGCCAGTTCGTAAATATTTAACCCTTTAAGCCCCCCCCACTGGTATGTACAGCTGGTGAGATATGAGAAGACGTTACCTTTAGTTGCGCAGTAGCAAAATCGTGGAATGCGCACGCGCAGTTTGCACGTCCAGATACAATGCGGCCCGAAAACATCAGGTAGTTCCGGTGATTGACGATGGAAGAGGCCATAGGGGGATTAGATATTAGATGGAAGTCATTTGTATTTTAAAGGTAGGTTGGGTGGGAGAGTGAAACATGAAGTCATCTGGCCCAGAATGCAAATCGGTTGCGAGGCCTTTTGGGTTTTATAAATAGCAAGGAATTTCTCGACTGTCTGACCGACTGTCAGCTTCCGTAATTTTTTTATTGAATGTTATGAAGTCGACGAAATGTTATAAGAAAGAAAGGCATGCAAATAATCTATAGTAAATAAAGCAGTCCAGATTCGTGAAATACGGGCTCTAGGAAGAACATCTGATGCTTTAAAATGTCATACAAGTACAGAGCATGCTAAAAGTAATCGAGAAATGATTCTTTCACCGTTCTGCTTGCTTCGTTCACATTACTTTGATTTTGTACATCCTTTAATTTCTCTTGTCATATCTTTCATACATACGTTTGTCTCTCCTTTCTCCCACATTTATCTCATATCCATGTCCTAGTTTAGTTCACACATGACGTCACATCGCTTTGTCTAAAACCACTTACCTGAATATGTCACATTTCCTTCTTGAGAAGCTTTACAGTTTTGCACTAAACACGATTATACCCACACTTCGTAGCATAATAATCGTGTAATAACCATCACGCAGAACTTATTCTATTGTAAATGTTTCAAATGGTACTTCATCTCTTATCAGTGTCCCCCTGAAGGCAAGGAAGCTCACAGCAAATGTCTCTTTTAAGCCGTCGTACGGAACATTTGTAGTCCAGCATCATTATTGAGTACTCTTTATATCAGCTGCATTACGTACGGAATTATGAACAGACGCGTTTTCCACGAAGTCCGCGCTCGGTTCTTTTGTGAGAGGAGAGACGCAGTCATCCACTGAAAGAGAAGGCAAACATACATCAAAGTGGATTTTGTATAATTACACATAATGCTCAGCTTATGGTACCAGTCAGTTTATAATGAATAATTACAAAATACTGAATTGGACCCTTTTTTTTCTTCTTAAATTCCCGAAACCCTTCGAAACAATGCGGACAAAATGAAGGTATTTAGAGCTGGTCGTGTCTGTCCGTCTGTATGCCTGTTTACGTGTTTCAATTGGAAGACCTCCGGACGGATTTCGATAAAATATTATATTAACATTATGCCATTAGAGGCCACCTGTCTGATAAACTCTTACGGCCGGCAATAACATCATGGCGGATGCGCGAAAACTTCGTTGTTTATGACGGACGATTTGTGTAGTTTGAAGTAGAAATGAGTGCCAACCTACTACATTTATGGATTTGTCTAAATAAATTTTCGTTCCTAGTGGTACTTCCGGGATCACTGATATATAAAATGGATGCAGATAATTATCTTAGTCAGGGTCTGTAAAGTTATCTCAAGATGACAGAGAATGCTAAGAATTGAACTGGGTTATTGAACTCAAACATTTTGTAATTACATCTGTAGACCTATGTAACTGCTGGTCTGTCTTATGCTGCAATTTATTCCTGTAGAAAGTTGAGATTATTATCCAAATAAATATTTCTTTCGTGGACGTCGAAGTGATATATTTTGTGAGACATTTAGATTCCTAGAAAATGTACGCAATGTACGAAGTGTCTCAGTCGCCGGAAATGGGCTGTAATTTTGTGCCTCTAACGTCATCAGCAGAAAATGTAGGACGCAAATAGTCTGAAAAATTTTTGATGTAAAACACGCAGCTACCTGGCTTTGACGGGAGGGACCCGAGATGAACGGGTTGAATAGGTCTGGCATATTTTGACGGAGTCACAAGAAAACTACGATACTTTTCTCTTGGTCGGAGTTCGTACAATGAAAGGTAACGCCAGAATTCTTCAACACTGTTTTTTTAAAAAAAAAATTTCGAGTCCATCATCACGGTCTGTTGGTTAGTACTCATTCTCTGTACTTGGGAGGAAATTGCTTTAAATCTTGGCTGCCCATATTGATTTTTGTTGTTGTGGTTTTTGTCAGTCTGTCCATGCAAATTCCCGTGTTAGTACTGTAATTTGTACGCTTGGTTTTGCATCATTTCCAATTCATCGTTAATTAATCATCCTATAATTCAATTCTGTATAATCTGAGCTATCAAAGGCGTACATATTGAGTAGATAATTATCAAGTTCAGAAAGTACGCTTGCAGCTTGTAAAATTCAACCGTCTGAACGTGCATCGAGTTTAATTAATGTCTCAATTTCAGTATTGGCGCTGGTGGGATGTTTGAAATTCAGGACGCATCTTTCGAAATGTCTGTTCTTAGTGTACAAATGTGTGTTAATAATTAAAGGCAGGTTTACTATAAAAATTGTTGATAAAATATTACTTACTTATTACTTATTTACCTACAATAAATTTTAATATTATCCTCATATGTACGCATAGGTATTTTATTCAGGCATTGCAGGTTCCGTCAAATCACAATTTTAATAAGATAATAAAATATTTAAAATATCATTTCACGTTCCGCATCGAATGATCGATTTACAAATCGGAACGATCATTCGATGCGGAACGTGAAATGATATTTTAAATATTTTATTATCTTATTAAAATTGTGATTTGACGGAAAATATTAAAATATTAACTTCTTTTAACTAAGTCTGCCCGTTACATTCCGTCCACTTACTTCTTCACTGATATTCCCCGCGGGAACATTTGGAACTATATTCACTCCATGTGTTTTGTCTGTATGAGAATGAATTTTGAAACATTGTTTTGTTACTGTTCTGACCATATCGGAATTGTGAACGCGCTACAATTGTTTTTCAGCAGCTCTTTAGGTGTTTGTGTACAGACACCAATTTTGCATTCCACGCGTAACATCTGTACCATAAAGTATCTTTAGCATATTGGTCACTGAAGCGTATTGGATATTGAAATTGTCATTTATTACAAACAGCAACAGGTGAAACTATTTATCTGACAATTAACCCACTTCTATAAATGTATATATAATTATACATTAAACTGTAATATTAAATAGAGAGACTGTTAATTGGAAATGGATTGAGTTTGATATATGTCCTTACGAGGTTATCGACGTTTTTGCGTTGTAAGTAAGAAGACCTTCTCAGTCTTTAGAACTCCAATATCGCCATACGATTCATCCGGGAGAAAAGGAATTAATTTATATTATTATTTTATGGACACGCTGTCCATAGTGGACGTATAAATAAAATTGTAGTCCAAGTGTTTGCCTATTTAAAATCACCAGTTCTGCAAAAATTCACTGAGGACAGTATGTCAACATCCTCGAGACTACCGTAGTCCCAGAGCGTCTCTGCTGCTGGCCGCAGACGATCGTGTCACGTATATTTTTATTCTCAGACCAAGACGGGGCAGAGCCTTCTGGTAATTCAGTAGCGGCCAGCAATCTTTTGCGATTGAACGCTTTCTTAGACCGAGCAGAGCTTCGCGACAAAGCGGTGAGGTTGTTCACTGCCTTCACATCGAGACTCAGCAGCGTCCCCGTCGCTCTACCAGAGATGACGTCCGCCCTCATGGTCTACCACGATTCCCCGACGCAGGTAAGTTCGCGTTACATTGCCTCTGAAGTTCTTGTCCAGGAGTTGTATTGAAATATGCAGTTTTTGGAAAGTACAGAATGTTAACATTTACGATAAAATTACTCGGACTTTCGTCATTATGAACCGGAAAGTTGTCAGTGCCTTTCTGGAAAACTTTCGATTGTTTTGTGACAGATGTTTCGATATTCCTTCGATTTGAAAGATTTCTTGAGTGTTTGGGTGACTTCCCTTTTGTGCAGGAACTGTTCCGAATTAAGATTTCTTGAGTGTTTGGGTGACTTCACTTTGTGCAGGAACTGTGCCGAATTGGGGGTGGATGTGATGTGTGTTGCTTGTGTGCCAGGTGTTTGTCGCAGGCGCTGCAGACGCCGAGGATACGAGAGCGCTTCTCGGCGTCGTGCAGGGAAAACTGATTCCCGGACGAGTGCTGGCTCTGGCAGATGGCAGAGATGACAGCGTGCTGTACCGCCGGTGCGAAGAGTTCCGGAGGATGAAGCCGGTTGGCGGCAAAGCCTCTGCGTACGTGTGCAGACATCGCACGTGCCGTGGTCCCATCGCCTCACAACAGGATCTCGACGAGATACTCGATGAACGAGAATAAGTATTACTTGACTCTTCAATTTCTGTGAAGTCTTTGAAGAAATTTGATATTTTAAAATTGTAGATTTTGTTTATTTATAGGGCCAAGGTCAAGAAGGTATACTACCTGGTGCTTCGTAAGTATCAGTGGAAAATGTAAATGTGGTAGTAAAATGGCGATTGAATCCTTAGAGCCGAATTTAATTGGCACGTGGAGGATTTTTATGGAATTTATTTTGAAAATGCGGTTGAACAGTCGTCACATATTTTGCGTAACAGAAGACTTTCTTTGGTCGAGACAGAATTTTATTGTGTAAACGCGACTGGAGTCACTTATAAATGTAATCTCTGTACCGTGTTCCAGCTGAATAAATATTTAATTTACGTCAGTTCGGAGTTCGTATATCTAATAAAAGCTGTTTCGATATATATATATTTTCTGGATCATTAATCTTTTTTTATTATTTTATTATATATGACTTGTGTAAATATTCCATTTCTCATTTCTTTTTCATTTTATAACTTAAAGGAAGTTACGGCTGAATTTATTATATCAGTAAAGTTTATTAAAGAAATTTGATGATGAATGGGCACTTTTGTTAATGTGAAATTAGCCCACGCGTGAATTTGTCTGCTCTCTCTCTCTTTTTTTTAAATAAATGTATATATAAAAGAATTCTGCAGTTGTCAACTGTTTCCACTGCATATCTGCGATTGTGCGTGATCTAACGTGCAGAGAACATTTTAAACTACGTTTTCAGAATACTCTTAATTTCGTTTAATAAACTGAATTCTGTTTCTGTTTACTGTTAATTGAAATGTTTGTCTCATGATAAAAAAGACAAGTTGCTGTTATTTATTATTAAGCCGAAGGTTAGAATTAGAATATTTTAACGTATTGTTAGTGTGTCAGCATTTTAGAAGACGGAAGTAAACGCAGTTAAAATATTCCGTGCTGATAAGTCGTGATATTGAATGTAAATTATACAGGGTGTGCCATTAAAACGCGATCCAACAAAAATGAAACCAGAAGCAGGTCCGCCCTTGTGTAATGGACTCTTCAGGCTTTCACCGTGACACTTGAGTTGAAGTCATCTTTGTTTGTAGGCCACTGCTTACGAAGCATTTGGCAGTGGCGTATCCTGACGAGGAAGTACGGAATCAGGTAACAAGATTTGTGGTGGATGGTTGTCTTTGAGAAGGCGAAGGATGTCAAAAATACTGTTGTACTTAGGGTTGTGCTTTAAATGGAACACTGTGTTCGTAAAATGATAATAAATTTGTCGTTAAAATTGTACTCGTCTATTTTACCTACTCCTGAATTTATTTAAGTTTTCATTAAATATTTTATTTTTTGATATAAGTCCTTATTTTTATCGAGATGCAAACATTATGATATCCAAAACATTTTTCAGCCAACCCCATGGAACAGAGCCCATGTTGAGAAATTAGATTATGATATCCAAAACATTTTTCAGCCTACTGCAGAATATAATCTGCGAACCCCATGGAACAGAGCCCATGTCGAGAAATTAATAATCAACTATAGTACGCGACTGTAATCTTGAGACTTGCAAGGAGTGCAGGAAGTCCGTAGCGTTAAAGGCAGACGCCATCTTTCCTCCTTCATCCCACTTCCTCACCTCTGTATTCCTGTGTCCTTTTTAAATTTCTGTTTACATTCATTTCCCCATTTCATATGATTATAGAAATTCATCCACTACTCCACTGTCATTCGTCTTCTGGGTTGTAACACCGCGTGGACTGTTGGTATATACAAACGTTTCGGAGGGACACTTTGCCTCCATCTTCAGGGCTAAAATGTTTTAGTCTTCCCCCACACACACACCAGTTCTTCAACTACTTATCCAGTTACAAAGCTTCCTTCCCAACATCCACATATCCATTTACCCAGTTGCCATGGCGACGCTCCAACAGGTGGCCTGTAAGTTCTGCAGTTTGCTGTCAGCTATCCCGGTATCTCCCACTGCTGTTTATCTCTCGACACCACATAGCGGTTTGCTGCACGATAAATTTCACGCTTTGCTCTTTCCTGTCAACATTTCCATCCCTGCATTTATCAGTACCCCAGTTCAACGATTCCATTACTTATTGTATGCTACGTATGACATTTATGCTTGATAATTATGTTCACTTGCGTTCCTTCAAATACGGCCATTTTTAGTCCCGCTTCTAATCAGTCATTTGTTTCATGGCTGTTCCACTGAATGACCGCACGCGAGAACAATGATCCTTGATCCTACTTTTATGCATATGCAGACTAGATAATGAACTGTGAAACTGTACTGGGTCTACTTAATAGGTTCCAAAGTTTAAATAACATTTTTTCGGGTGTAGGGCAATGATGTTGACCACTGGCCTTCATTGCATCCTGTTGATGTTTTCAGGAGACAACCGTTTGAAAGTACGAGCCAAAGGATCGTCTGTCAGAACTACCAAAACGGTGTAGTAAGCCACTTTGCCTACCACATCTCTGATTGTAGACCTTAGTGTTCTTCTGACTCATTTTATTCAATTTTCCTGAGCAATAACATATTCAAAATCCTTTAATTCCTTTGTTTGTGCAGTAATTTATTACATAAATCAGTCTTGCGGTGAGCGATTTTCTTTTGTCACTGTGCGCATTGGTACAGTGCTGCCGCACTGCTGCGGAGTTGTGCGATGAGCCGGCAGTAACTTGCCTACAAAGAAATGTTTGTCTTGTGAGTAGAAGTGTCTCGTGTGTGCAATGTCGGAATATTCAACTATATAGTGCAGTGTTTGTGTGGATTAGTGTGTTTATTTCACTTGGGAACGCTGGAAATGCAACCAACAGTTCCGATCAGCAGTTACACGTGTCTTAAGGTAAGCCGACTGCAAGTTGTAACTTGTTTACGTGACTCGCAATATGTCCAACTTATAACCTTATAAAATGACAATGGAATCGATGTCATACAACTTACGAAGATCAGTAGCACAGAGAGATAATTTTATTTGATATAATCTGGAGAAGTATTTTGTGTGTTATTCTTAAGTTCAGCAAACTTCAGAATTAAATATTAAAGATTTTAATGAGATCAGTTGATAGCGTTCAGCATTGGCGTCCAGGAGGCGGAGTGATACAAAATGTCTGATAAATGACCTTGATTCAAAGACGAGCCAAGTTCCGGTCATAGATGAAGACCGTAAATTAGGTCCAAGGTATGATATTTTGCTGTCTCGTGAGGCCTGCCGTACTCGTCACGGAAGTATTATATATTATCTTAAGTATTTCACAAAACAAAATTGACATATGTGCGGAACTATAACCCTTCTCTTTCAAGAACTGTGGCAAGGAGGAGGTTATGATAAGTCACGTGTATTTTAACTGCACGTCCATAAGAAAGACACAGTTGATATCAATAAAGATACGTTCCGTTTACCAGTGAAGTTAATGAAAGTTTCAATGTTGAATTTAGAAACAATTCTTTTTATTCAATATAATAATATTAGGTGATCAGTTGGATAGGTTTTATTCATAAAATTCAGTGTGAGAATAATAGTTATTGGTTGTGGTGGTCTATTCTGCGTTTGATGTAAAACTATAATATTAATATTCGATATACGTGTACAGACACTCTATTACAGTTGAGTAATACAATTAAATAATTTTGGGAACGTGAGAATGTCGGAAAATTTCATGCAATTTGCATGTCCAAACTAATGATGAAATTATTTAATGACATCATATGGGTGATAATGTATTATGTTGTGAAGCTGATATTTATCAACTAGAGTTTAGTTTGAATACGAGAAAACATTTCCGGGTGCATATTCTGAATTAATACTGTTAATATATGTTTTCAACGGGTAGACAATTTGTCGAAGTTATAAAACCTACGTATTTTACGTGTTTCTAGGGGTACTAATCTTGTGTTTTAATGTCATATTTAGCCAATATAAATTTGTAATCTGACAACATAATGGAATTACGAGTTAATTTGCTAGACTCGTACGCAAATGACCAGGCTGAAATCCTAATGGAGTTAGAATATTTCTTATCGATAATCTCCTTTGTTTCGCCTTGAAATATTTTCGTACGTGTAGGCTCATATCGCCCTGTAAAGCTCAAGTCTTATGGAATGTTCGTTGTTTGCTTTTAAACGCGTTATAAATGATTATCACAGTATTAGCAATTTGTATTCAGGCCCCACTCCCGATAACCTTGTTAGTTTACCTTTGCGACTGATTGTGTTACGCACAAAATACTGACTGCACAGCTGTAAAGGGAACTTAATTTTTTGAAAGGGAAAGTTTGCGCGTTGATTTTAATTGAGTGAACAGCGGTCAGACAACGAAGTAGGATTTAACTGCAGTATGGTTGTTCCCAAATTTACACGAACTGAAATTTACGCTGTTAAACAAACGAGATCGCGTGCTGTTAGCTAATGATTGAGTATTCGAAACGCTGGTTTACCGGGTCGTAGAGAGGGGCGAGGGGATGTAATTGGAGTCAACAGACTCTGTCGGCCGTGTGTCCATAACAAACAGGGCTGCGCGTCCTGTGATAAATACTGCAAGTACCTCCTTTACCCTGCCAGCTGCTTCCAGGTCGCAGGCACTGGCGTCATTATGTCATTATATTCTGTCAAATATTCAACCTGCCCCAGCCATCCTATTCGTATCGCAAGCGATTCGTGGTAGCTATAATTAAGGTTAGTGCGTGAGGTATTTAACGTCGTTATTAGGTCGATCAGATCAGAAAGTGTAGTGGAGGACAGAGTTTTGTCCAAAGATATAATTGCTAAGAAAAATAGTTTGGTTGACAGAGAAATGTTCACGGGTTTCAGTATAATTCTTACTGTAAACAGCGTTTACCAGTTTGATTTTTGTAACGGTGAAGTGCTGTGTTTTCTTTGCGGTACGGACTGAATTTTTAAATATTATTTAGACGAGCCTAGTCAAAATTGACCCCTCCCCCCTTATAGCGGATGCCGCTAAATTAATTACTCACGTGACTTTCGAAATTGTAGATTCAGCGTTCTGTAACAAGAAAATCAAAATTTCGTCGTCTCTGCTAGCAAACTGTCACTAATTATCGTCCTAACGATTTCACTCAAATTCTGTCCTTACCAAAAGGACGAGCGGGCATTGCTTGGGACCTTCTAACTATAAGATGTCCCCGCTCCCCCGAAATCGAAGTGTCTCTCACTTCTCCCCCACCAATTTCCTCTTTCTCTCTCTCTCTCTCTCTCTCTCTCTCTCTCTCTCTCTCTCTCTCTCTCTCTCTCTCTCTCTCTCTCTCGGCTTCAAAGGAACACGTCCAGAATTAATTCCACTCTCTGGTTTGCGCATTTGTAATTGGTAGAGTAGGAATGGTTTTGAAGGTTTGCACAGTGATTGGAGCGTCACTGGACAGTCCTTTTTAAATATACTGTGCAAGCAGACTTACGTCGATTTTCTATTGCACTGTCTAGTGTGAAAATTTTTATATATATGTCGTCATGGTTGGCACATGAAGGAAAAGGCTGTTCTTTTTCGCGGTTCCTATTGTAAATTTCAGATCTTCACGTATTCAAAACTCGTAGAGCGGCAGCAGGACTTTGGCTGGCGGGGGTGGAATTTCTCATGACTTATAAATCTATGATTTTACCTGTTGATTTGTACGGGTGTGATATATCGTCTTTTACATTAAGGGAAGAACATGAATTGTCTCTGAGTTCACTGTGATTAGGAAAATGCTAGTATTTACGTGGGATTAAGTGACAGGTTTGGTGGAGAAGATTTCATAATGAGGAGATTTACCAAATATTATTAAGATGATTACATCTAGGACGACAAGCGTGTATGAAATGTTGGTTGGAGGGCCTGAAAGTAAGAGACCACTCAGAAGATCTAGTCGTAGATGGAAGGATAATATTAAAATATATTTTAGCGAAATAAGTCTGGAGATTGTTAACTAGATTAAGCTGGCTCATGATGATGGGCTCTGTGAAAACGGTAGTGATCCTTAGGGTTTTATAAAGGGCAGGGAATTTCTTGATCAGACGAGGGTACTGTTGTGTTGTGAAGAAAGTCTTTGCTGCGTGGATTTAGTCCAGTAGACAGGCTTTTAAGCCTTCGCTGGAATAATAATTGGCTTGATAGTCGCATTGGAAAGGACTGAGGAGTTAGTTGCGAAGAAGTTGCTACTGCCCCAGCCTTATTCTGGACGGAATAGAGAAAATTATGGTTGCTGGAGCATGTCGTCAGATTAGAGTGATTGTTCGCTTCATTGTATACTTAAATGTAAAACGTTCTCTGCGAGTCTTTGAAACATTTTGAATTGGAATAAAGTTTAACTTGTTTTAACCGTCTGAGACCGAAGCCCCATGTAAGTAATGCGACTATTTAAACATTCTGTTCGCACCACAAAGAAAGCGTAAAGCGTTAAGAAGGCTGTAATAAAAAGACGTATTAAAACTGATTTACGCTTAATGCCTCGTAGACCAGAATAAAAACTTTACCAAAAATTATAAAGAAAGGACTACGTTTTATCACAAAGATCAATGTTTTGATGCTGTTGAGGTAGATAATCGCTGTTTATTCCGAAAATCATGCGAGACCCATAATTTTATCCACCTCACGTTTGATTATTATTGTAATTATATTCCAGTTCATTTATCCCAAGTGATCTCGTCCCTTCAGGGTTTCTGAATGAAATTGTATACGATTTCTCGTATCTCCTATGCGTGCTGCATGCCTTGCCAATCGCACTCTTCTTTACGTTGATATAATTTTTGGCAAAGAATACAGATTCACGCACCTAATCACGCAATTATCTGCTGCTATGTCGCAGGGATTCCCATGGAGTATTTTTGCATGCATCGACTTAACACGTGGACTGACGCGTTCTGTAATTGATAAATTGCTCGGCCCGCACGTAAATAAATCAGTTCTAACATAAAATAAACCAAACTACGTATTTCGTGAGCAGCGTGCGGAAATCTTGAACTGACCTGCTTTGATACAGTTGTTATCGCTGCTTCGCGACGTGACTGTGAAAATCGAAGGACGCCTCTCCGTCCACATGGACTGAACTACGAGCGAATCAGGGCCCCCGCCGTGATAAATGAGCTCCTTACCGCCTGAGCTATGGCATCGCCTGACAAAAGAATCAAAAATGTTTTGAATGCAGATGGTTATTAAACGGCTTTATTCGGTTTTCTGAATCTCATTCGCTGAAACAGGAAACAGATGTCCGTAATTTTATACTTATTTTAGTTAGTTTAATCCAATCAGTGTCGAAGCATAACATTTTTTCTTTTCCGATGCTCTCAAATTAATGTATAAGTTACTTTGTCATTCGAGTTTTAACGTCAGTCCCAATTTCAGAATATTAGAATATTAGGAAGTTTTCAGTTTCAGAACTGAACGATTGTTTCAGAAGTAACTGTGAATCTTAGCAGGCCAGAATGATTAATCAGCGACGAGTAAAGAAGACAATTCAAACCATTCTCGTATTTCCTCTTATTTGGCTAGTAGCTTTGCAGAAGACTGCTGTCGGTCGAACTTCGTCGGTCTGCGGGGAGTTGCTTTGTGTTTATCTGAATTTTCGTTCATCTTTTTGTTTCGGAGTCTGTCGAGCGGAGAAGTATGGTTTATCAGGTTTTAATGCACGTACAAGACTGGAATAGATAATGTTTTCAGACGTCTAGGGAACAGAATTCTGAGCAGAAATGCTCCCACAAATATCGTAAAGATCCATATAAAATATGCGGGTAGAGGAACGACTTTCATGAAGCAGACATTTTATTTCTGCTTGCGAAATATTAAGCCAAGGCCTGCCATGTTTTTGCCGTTGATCTCACGATGTTCCTGTCAACCTCTGTTTACGGGAGTCAGCTAAGTAGGTAGGCGTGTGTTTAATGTAAATTACTGGTGGCAGGCCAAGGTCTGCCTCACTTCCTAATACAGCCCGCAAATTAATTTCACACAAAGAATAATATTTATAAAGACAAGGAATATGGAGTTTACAAAGCATTTAAATTCTTTTCACGTACTATTAGTTATAGGCCTGTAAACTTAGAAACGCGCGCTTAATAATATTTAATTCTTGTATTAATACTATCTAAAGTAAAATTCAATGAAATGCAATCTTTATTTTTCCAATTTATCTCAGGACTCGGATGTGATTATGCGATATTTATGCTCTCTTACCACAGATTTAAATGGCTTACTAATTTATGAGATTGAAGTTTTTTAACTGCGCGAAGGATGATGTTTTCGTTCTGGGTCCGCGTTTCGGATAAGCATACTGTCTAAATCTTTAAGGTTGAAGATGGAGACGGTACGTCTCTCAGAGGAGTCTACACGGCGTCAAAATCCAGAAGAACATCGTAATGCGAAAAGTTTTTAGTAACAGCATTTAAAGGTAAGTTCAGAAGTTATCAATGCGTGGAAAAACGTAAATAATTTCAGAAACAAATAACCCAATAAGGTACTTCATTTCTGATCTTCCCCCCCCCAGGATATGATTCCCATCCCACCAAAATTTGCTTCTCAGATGAGACGAATTCGTTGTAGCTCTCTGTACCCTCGTAGAGAGCGAGTGTCAGTCAGTAAACCTCAGCCTTCAGAATAAGAGGCGACAATCCTGTCTCTGGAGATGAGTTCAGTCGAGGGAGAGACGGGATTTGCCGATCTACGTCTTTAACATGAGACAGACGTGCTGACGTCTGTTGGACTAACATAACCCTGACCTTGGCAACGAGTCTCTGTCATCCGTGACGTACTGCAACAGGTTGTCCCCGCCGTAGCCGGGACACAGCCCACAACTAGCGGTCCTGAAACAGAACAGAAGCGACTTGCACCAAATTTTAGACGAAATTTGGCAGGTCTTAAAATAAACATCGTTACTCCAAGAGACTCTGTGTAGTGGTAAGAAAAACGTCTCAGAATATAAATAAAACAGTCGTGTTTGCGTTGGGTGAGATATGAGGTTCTCACGGCGATGAGTATGAAGATGGCTGTCTTCTGATAATGGAGACTGTGGAGTTTTACTTCAAAAGTGTTTATTGATCTCTACACACACTTTGCAGTTCGCGCTGTTTAATAAGATCGCATTTTGGACACATTTGTCAATCGCCTTGTTTACAAATCTTCAAGTTGAACACCGAAGACTGCAGGACGGGACATACAAACTGAAAAAACCAGTTTCGTGCAATCGGTTTCATGAAACTGGAGACTTTGATTTAATCTAAAAATATTCCGTTGTTTTATGAGACTCTGTGCATAATTTGTAGATTGAAAAAAAAAAGTCATCATTTTCGATTAAACCACGTGTCTTCAGTTTTATAAAACCGATTTATTGGAATTGGTATCCTCTGTGAATATCCCGCATAAGAAGGTAACCAATCAGTCTTGAGCCTCGAAATGATCATTGCAACTTACACTCTGTTCTCTTTGTCAATTAACTTTCGTTTCTACGATGAAACACGTCTTGCTAAAGAGTAAATTAATTCTGAGAACCGCGTGTGTGCATAGGCGAGATTCTTCTCTCCGCTCAATTTTATGTAGCAGGTTAATGTTTCCGCTGAGCCAATTAAGACATTCTCACTAACAAAATATTAATAGAACAAGGTAGAACATTAAGAAGAAAATTTACATAATTTTACATAACAACCTCAAAAAATAACTATCATGTATTATTCATGATATCTTTTTGTGTTAACAAAATTAGTAAGAACGGAGAAGAACCTTTCTTGAGAAACTCTTTTCTTTTAATGAGACCCGAAGGTTCATTACAGTGTTTACAAGGACCCACACTTTCGAGGCCCTACATAATATTTCGTATCATGCTCTTTTATTACAGACTTTTTAATTCCCACTTTAACCCACCCGCGCCCAGGTGCCACACCACCCATTGTCGGCTGTCCTCTCTATATCCGTTGACCATTTCCTATACGCGGAATATTAACACTCGCCGTGCTGTTGCCACGGGGGATCCACTTAAAATGGTTAAAACTAATAAGAATTTATAACATATCACTTCATGAAAGTGTTGAGGTGTTGAGTCAAATATTCTAGACGATCCTGATAAAATTGTTAAATTATCGCGAAAGTGAATACGGAGCGTACATTGAAGGATTAAGTTTTTTATTTAAATGTTCCTAATTTACTTTTAAAAATGGTCTCTTGTTTTCTGTTAAATTTGAAAACGTTTTGGGGAACAGCGTTTTGTATTTATTTCACTATAATAACTTTAATATATATATTCAATAACATACGACTTATATTTTGGTTAGTTTTAATTGAATATATTTCCTGGTGTTTTGCAACCTTATGTGCTACAAAGTACAAATATTACTGTGAACATTTTTCACTTGTTTATTTTTGTTTAATACGAGTATATGCCGCGTTTGGCTGTAATCCCTGTTAAATCGAAATGCCATTTATTTTACATAATATTTAAACATCAAACCAATATTATACAGTTTGACTAGTTAATAATTTACTTTTGAGATAATTTCAATTTCGTTAGCAGTAATATTTAAACATTTTCAGGAATTATTCGCTGTGATATGAAGATGTGTTGGATCTCTGGGGTCATTTTCGGCTCCACTGCCCATGACTGTAGGTAGCCATTCGTGAAAGTGCTGGTTGGGTTGCCTAAGGATAGGGCGATGTGTTTATAATATATTTTACGCCATAAAAACTGAACTTATATGTTTTATGTCTTTGAAACATGACTCTTATCGAAGAATAGAACATACATTACAGGTATAAAAATTGTACGCTTTTCCACATAATTTCGTATTTGATCATTATGCGAGGCGTTGAAGATTTTTTTTAAAAATATTTTCATAGAGAGATGCTGTATAAGAATATATTACTAAGGCGCTATCACTGGCTTCTATTATAGCGCATGCTTGTGGCCCCTTTGCTGGCTGTTGGTGGACGCACTTTAAGTACTGCGTCTCCCGCCATGCGTCGCTACGTAGACGCGCTGGCGCGCTAAGCAGAGCGTCTGTCTGTCTGTCGATCGGACGCTCGGACGCACGAGTTTGGGTGAGTTTGATCTTGAGCGCCGTCAGATTCGCGCGTCGCTTCGAAACACCCTCCTCTGTCGGTGGACATGAACAAAAAGAAACAAGGAAGAAATAGTGACAAGTGGAAAATCGTTTGACGCAACTGCTATCGATTTAATATAAATATTATAGTAATATTAGAGTATCAAAGGGACATATCGTTTTCAAAATCTTAAATAAATATATGAATCGTTAAGAAAAGGAAATATTATATATCTTAAGATGTCTTTGGGGCTTTTTGAGAAGAGGTGGGTGTTGAAGTTTGTGTTTGTTTATTAAGTAAGATTTTAAAACCGCCAACAGTGGCTGTAGTTTAGCGACGAAAATAAATAGAAACGAGTCGTGTGAATGTTCTGAGTTGAAGAAAGAAATGAAAAGTGTGTTTAGTGAGTGACGGAAAATATATTTTTACAGCAATAAGTTTTGTGAAGGTTAAACAACGGGATTTAAAGAGGACATTTTTTTAATATTATACGTATAATAAACACAGAGAAAGGAGAGGCATAAATGCCCTGAATAAATTATCTGAATTTTAAAAATGTTACAAAAGTGATAAAGTTTCTTGTTATTGTTAGAAGTGAATTAAAATTTAAATAGAATTTATTCCGTAGTTCACACAGAAGTTTGTACTGACAAGATAATTTCGCCGAATTTTTAACCTAAGAACTGTCGTAATATAATATTAATATATTACAATAAAATATATTAATTAATCTTATATATGCAATTAAACTTATGAGACTAGTTTCTTCGTTATTTGGTGGAAAAAAACCAACAAATTGAATGTGATTGTGGAGACCACTCTGTCGTTTACTATATATTTTGACTAATTCTCAAACTTCAAATATTAAATAAATGACATATTAGAACTCTTTAGTGTTGAGGAAACAGATAGTTGATAAATATTGCAGTGTATTAAAATTAATATTATTAAACTGTCCAGAGAGCCCTTAACGTAGACAGATCTAAAAAAAAAATATATATCGATTGAAGAAATCGAACTATTACGTCAACCATTTCAGTGTCATGCAGTAACGACTATTCTGTTTCAAATCCAGACAACAAAGGAAATAAATTTATCGGAACAGAAATATGGTCAAATTTTCATAGCAACCGTCAAGAAAAAAACACCATGTCTCTGCACTACTGCCAACCTCACCAGTACCATTTGGAGCAGGTGGTGGGTTCAGATCCCGTCCAGGGATCTGAGTCAGATGTGGCTGCCCTGTCTGACTTAGAAGATGACGACGATGATGATGATGATGATGACGATGATGATGAAGAGGAGGAAGAAGATTTGCTGTATCCGGGATTCATTCCAGTCGCCCTGAAATATCTGGATCAGAACACAAGACCACGCAACTGGTGCCTCAAGATGATCACTAATCCATATCCTTTACAAATCACAACTCATTTCAGCATTTACGAGTCACAGCTTCGGTCTGCGGAACTGGTGAGTGAGACGTATTAAAAATGAATTAATTACTTATCCAGGGACTTGTTGATGCATAGGTCTACGTAGTTGGTCAGGGTTTTGTTAGAACTTGTTTTAACTGTTGCATGTCGAGTCTGAATCTTGTCCACAGAGTGCATTTATGGGATTCGTATGATTCCCACTGTAAACAGCATTAACCAATTGATATTTGTAATCTTCAAGTGTTGTGTTTTCTTTGCGGTACGGAGTACGGACTTAAATAAGAAATTGCTTATATTTTTGTATCACACAACTGTTTAATTTTTGTAACTACGCGCCTGTCATATTAATATTCTACATCCATGATAAGAAGAAACCTCATTAACTGTAATAGAACATTTGATGGATGTTTAAAAAATTCGTGTTCTAAAACCCTTTAAAACTCAATGGCAACTGTATGTACCGCTTGTTTTAACAATGTTCAACTCTTTATTTAAGGGGTTCGTATGATTCCCAGAATAAACGACGATTATTTCATTAAACAGCATTAAAATTGTGATCTTTGTGTTACGTTCTTTACTAAGAGGACGAGTGGGCAGTGCCTGGGAACCTTTATAGCTGAACAACTATTTCCCCTATTGAATGTAGTGTCTCTCACTGCTTCTCAACTTTATCTCCTCCCCTAGTTTTCCTTCGGCTATAGAATGTTAACTTCAGGTTCTCAAGATGAGAGGTTATGACGTCATACATTTTTCTGTTATTTACGACAGTGGCGCCGTATGGTGGTGTGTGTCGTAAACATCAAATGGCTTGGGGGTGACTGAAAGATTTTATGATAACAGATGACGAACGCACTCAAAATACGAGTATTCAATCACAAACTAGATTCGAAGCTGTGGCACTTCATGCAGAGGTTTACCAGTGTAGCACCAAGGACCTCGGAAACTCTGTCGAATTTCTTAACGTTGTTCGTCGCATCAGATGCATATTAAATAACCTTATTTTTTATACTATCATTTTAAGGAAGTGCTTTTATGGAAACTTCCTAATAGATAAACATTTTCTAGTGAAAGTTTAGCCTATAAAAGGTTAATATCAGCAGTACACATGTAAATGCACTAAATAAACTTGAACTATTAGGACTGTGAAACTACAAGAAACATTCTGAAACTGAATTATTCGGAATTTTTAGTTCAAAATTCACACCCTTGATCTTTGCCGAGACAAATACTATCTTAAAATAGGCCATGATCAGTGCCGTATTACTGTGGAACGGCCCGTGATTTATCGCCAACGTATGTAAACTTGGTGGCAGCACAGTAGATGTTAAACAGCAGGGGCATGCGAAACAGTGGTTACGTGTGGGCGCACCAGAAGGAATCTAAACACTAAAGTAGTATAAATATCAAGCTGAAAGCCACAGACATCACTGACTCATGTCAAATTCGCAGTGTCTATACTAGAGAGCAATAGCCTTCGAGGTAGTCTGTTGTCGTCGAGGTACCCCGACATAAATACATCTTACGAATGTGATTGAAAACTTATTAACCATTTGAAGCCCAAAAGAGAAGAGAGAGAAAGAGGAAATTGGTGGGGGAGAAGTGAGAGACACTTCGATATCTGGGAGGGAGAAAGAGCAGGGGGGTAAATTTTGACGGCGTTAAGGGGTGGTAAATTTTGATTAATTTAAGTCGGGAGGGCTGCATGAGAAGCTTGCAGTGGCAACTTGGAACTTGGGAACCATCTCAGCATTTGCTTGAAGACAGAGGAAAACCAAGGAAAACCTGTGTCGAGATGGCCGGTCGCAGGACCTTCCGGGTGCGCACTGACTACTAGCCAGCGGTCCGGCGGACAAAAGAGGAATTTGTACGGCCCAAGCTCGTCTAAACAATATTTAAGAATTTAGTCCGTACCGCGAAGAAAACACAACACTTCACCGTTGCAAAGATTGACTGTTTAATGTTGTTTAAGGAAGTAATCACTGTTAACAGTGAGAATCATAGGAAACCCATGATTACATTTGTTGGAAAAATTATAGATTGTTAAAGCGCTTAACAGTTCCACCCGGGCTATGGAGGGTAAACCCTACAGGGCGAAGGCGAGCGGCAATGTTCAAGGATGGAAATTTTGGGTTGAAGGTGGTTGTGCTTGTCGAGGTGTTTCGCTGATATTTTTCGCCCTGTCATGTGAATACACGGGGGATGTTTCTGAAATTGGTCACTGCCTCTTCCTTCCATGTGAACAACTCGCGTGTTCCATTTCACGCTAAGTAATCTCTCAAATATTATACCCACCAACATAGAGTTGAGCGTTGTGGCCAAAAGTTTTAATTTTTGAACCGAAATCAGGATAAATTTTAAACTTTCGTATTCTGCTTGTTTATTGGTTTGTATAGAGTGTCCCAAAAATATGACTAAACCTTTACGTACATCGGAATCGGCGCTTAATATATTAAGAAATTTTGTGTACGTGTTCAAAATGACCACCGTTAGCTTCGTGGCACAGTTGTTAGCGGCGAGGGACTGACTGACAAGTGGCCCCCTTGTTATAATGTGTGTAGATATTTTTTGGAACACCCTGTGTATATAGTTATTAAAATACGGAAGGCTTTAATTTAATTCTCTTTGAATGTGAGCCGTGATATTTCATCCAAAAAGAGTAATATAGACTGAATAGTTAGGAGTGCATGGGAATCTGTTCTCTGTCCCACTGTTTCTAACACGTTGGCTCACGAGGGTCAGTGTTGGGTCTCGCGAGAATTCATTTCAGCGCCCGTAGAGACGCCGATGTCACAGGACTGTATCATTATGTGGAGATTCAGTCTTCACGGAGTGAATTAATTTATTTGAAACACAGTAGCTGGGACAGGGAAGATGTTTGAGGTTTGTGAGAGTCACCGGTTGGTCATGGGACGAAATTTATGCTTGGCAAATGTAGCTTGGATCCATCGCTACTAGATCGACCCAGTTTCCCCATGCGAGAAAGCCACTGGAACGTGGTCCTCCATTTTGTGACGAGAGAATGAGTGGAGTTTGACCTCCACTATTCCATATGTATTCACCACGCAGTGGAACAATTTTATGTTCAGTTTCGAAGAGGTTTCCGTCGCAAAATTTCCGAAGTTAGTGTGGGCTGTACCAGGAAGCTGTTCCATACCGTATGGTATGTTTCAGTGACTCAGGCTGTGAGCCAGCCTGATGCTGGTAAGGAGGATCGAACACAAATAGGAATGCGTACTGGGGAAAGGGGAATTCCCTGCCACCAGCAAGGAACAATTCATCACTGCTGCCATTTGTCCGAACTTCTCATAACACCGAGACACGTGAATCATAGGTTATTTAGCGACGGTGTTTCAACTGCTGAGAAGTTGGCAGTAAACTTGAGGACAGTTCTTAGTGTTCGGAATTTTTGTGGGTTATTCGTAAATTCTACAGCGAGGCTTCGACATTTAAAGTCAGGTGCTAACTGTGTGTGTCGTCTGCTTTAATAATAAATGACACAAAGTGCTTATGGATTTTGTATGATTCTTAAGAATGAACAGAGATTATTCATTTAAATAACATTAACGAGGTGAGGTACGATATGGTTTTTTTTTAATGTAAGAACAAGGAATTTAAGTGTTATTTAGACGAATTTAGCCGCCACGGTGGTCTAGCGGTTAGAACGCTGGCCTTGTAATCCTGGGGTCTCGGGTTCGATTCCCGGCGGTGCCCGAATTTATAACTTGTGTTGGGCAAGGCCGTGGTCTAGGCAACACGGAGTTTTCCTCCGTGGCATCCCAACAATTACTCCATTCACACACAGAAGAAGGCAATGGCAAACCACTTCTGGATCATCTGCCAAGAACGTATATGAACAGGTCCCAGTCCGAGAAAAGGATGGAAGGATCCTGTTCATATGGACCTGTCGTCAGACAGAACACTAAATAATAAAAAATAAATAAGACGAATTTGTGTTTCAATATCGAGTTCAGTTTCTGTTGTTATGATTCATGTCTGTCTATCCCCTTGCTCAAGCATCCATCAATAAGACGGATCAAATTTCTTGATTTGATGATCCTCGTTACGTTGAACAATTGTCGATGTTACCCATCTGGGTTGTAACTCCGCGTCAGTTTGTAGGCGTCTGAACCCAAAGACCAGCGTCGACATAACTTTGAGCCTACCTCATGTCTCAAGCAGCTGCTCACAGCTACAGGAAATGCCAAGCACTGACGGTGTTAACAAAACGCGTTTTCTGATATCAGGTGAAAATATTTTATGACTGAGATTTACAGAACATGACTATTATAGAGAAAACTTACGCGGTCAGTACAGGACCACATTTGAGGACTGGATGCAGTCCGCAGGCCGCGTGTTGAGAACCCCTGTAATGTTTGCAAGACTTGATATTGTCTACTATGTTTATCTTCGTTACGAAGATTTACGCTTGGGAGAATTTTGTTTAATACGAGTGAAATAGATAAGCATACAGAAGTGCAGGTTAGTAAATAAGCAAACGAACATCCTCAGGTCTACTATTTTGAGAGGACGATAGAGCGGGTTTTATGCTGATATCCCTTACGGGCTGTGTGGTCGAGAAGTCCGTTCGTCTTGTGTGACGATTTCCTGAGCGTTACAGTTGACTGGCACGACATAAAAGACTTGCAAGTTTTCAGGTTTTATTCTCGGACTGAGTTTTTCCTCATCCATTCATTTATTTATTTTATTATTATTATTATTTCCTTACATTTATAAATGTCCTCTATATTTTCCCATTTTCATATTCTCCATGAATATCCTGACCTACGCAGTTGTGACTTCAGGGTCTGAAAGAATACGGCGTACTATTAAAACATGGCCTCATTACACTTATATACGTCTTGAACCACATTTCAGTACATCTTATAAACTTCCCCGAACACCGAATTATATATGATGTCTCGTTGTGGCCGTCACTGAACACGTATAGAAAGTTTGAACTTGTTTTGAGTAGGAAGATTAATTATTGCATGTTATTCCAGTTGAGCTATTAAATGATGTAGGCCCCTGGGCTGTCCC